ATATGTCATAGTCTTAATATTTATGATTTTATTACAAAGTCAAGTAAGTCACCATTGCGCATTTGACAATTTTGTTTTGTTACCTTTTGGAAACAAGGTCTGTTGTTATTAGGTTTGGTCGAACAGCATTTTTTTTGGCCAGCACGAGTTTTTTAACAGTCATCCTTCCGTCACTATGCCAAGAATAGTATTTAAAAATGAGTGCTTAATATGCTGACAATTTGGCCGGGGGTGATGGAACAAACGAAACGTTGAAACCCGTGTTTTACAATTATTATATTCTGATGTAGATCGTAGATGAGATAGTTTTGATATTACTTTTGGTTTTATTAGATCACAAAATTACCGCCATATCGTCTGACAGAATTTTCTATATATTTTGTGTGACGATCTAATATTATGCGTTGGATAATAATTGAACACATTGTTGGAAAAATTATAACAAAATACATGTCCTAACACCGATAAAATTTCATTTATAGCACCTGCTTTGAGCACCTTATTTAAGACAAAGAATTCACAGTTATCTTAGGAATATTTATTTCTTGAGAATGTCGTGTTTTCAATAGGAATTCAGTAACATGATATTCATATACGAATCTTTAGCCAGGTGTTCTAAACTTGAAATTGAGTTAATGCGTTACATTATAAAGATAATGTTTCATAATCAAATACCAATTTAACCCAGTTTAGTTTTGAAACAAGACTCTGTAATGAATATATCCAAGATATGTTGTTATTCGTGCATTTGGTCTGGATATCTGAATAAGAAGCATTGCCTCATATAGAATTCCGTATCAAAACACAGCAATGACATCACAAATTACATCATTTCTTTTCTAATTTGGTATTGGTTAACAATCCAATGAAATTGATGGGGTGTGAGGTCTAGTAACAACAGCCAGATGGTTGGAACTTTATCCCAAGGCATTCATTTCTAAGATATTTGCATTCAGTGAATGTATAACGCTTTATCGTCACTGTGAATATCAGTTTTCTGACCCGATATGTGTTCCGATGTGTCATTCATTTCACACCAAATGAATCCTTAAGAACTACAGTGCGTTTTCACTATTTTACGTAAACCCCGCGTTCATAAGAAAACTTGATTCCCTCGGGGAAATAGGAAATCGTCCAACTCAATGCATTGGAATTCGTTATAAATCGCTCCAGAAGTGTGTGTACCAATATGGAGGTAACAATTTTGTAAATGGTAAAGGGACTGAAACCTATGGGTAGGGGGTATATTCACTTGGCTATAACACAGACCGTCCCCGAACTCGTAATAGAACTAAAATATAGAAAATCGGAATAAATTTATGGTCTAACTACCCATTACAATATTTGTGATTGGCGTTGGTAGACATCAGTCATCTTGTGCAATTACATTTTAATGATATTCATCCCGGAGATAAAATAGTAGCAGTCATTTCATTGGGAATTTTGCAATGTAAAAAGGTGTTGGGAGAGCGTTGAGTACTGGAAGAAGCCGAAACTTTTAAGCCGGGCATCCCTGTCATACTCGCACATGACAATAATCTCAAAGGGTATTGAAACCTCAATATATATAAATTCTACAATACCAACGAACCCAGCCAAAAACTTAGTTTCAGTATTGGTTTTCAAGCTATGTATCGTGGTTGTAGCAAAACATTTTGATAGGACACAATGCTTTGTGTTTCCATTTCTCCTATAATCCCATGCATTATGAAAGGTGAATATTATTATTGAGATTATCATTGAAGCGAGATCACAACAAATATTATTTCAGCGGATCTGTGGGGTCGTGAATTTAATTCTATTCAAGATTACAGTCTACCGTGTCCAAAGTATATTGCCATAAATTCATCGCGTGATATTTTTCACTATAGACAGGTTGTTGACGTTTGTGTATTCCGTTTTGTGACAAACGGGTATTTGTTCTTATGAAAAAGCGAAGCGAAGTTTTTGCAATAAATATTATATATACTACAAAGAGAGCAAAAGTTTGAAAGTTAATAATACAAATATGAAATACATGCTTCGCTTTAGAAAAACTTGCATACGTCTAGAATTTCCCTTTTTTTGACGTTTTTAATTAAGCGTACCAATCACTGCCAAAGTTGACCTATAATATTCTATAATTCCGATTGTTTGGTACGTTTTTCATGTTCGTTACTCAGACGATGCTTGCACCACTATGAAACATTTTTTATGGTATATGATCTGGTGCATTAAAAACTTGACATAATAATCTGAATCTGCGGTGTTACAAGTAATTTACTTCTAAATCTCCTTTGATTAACAGTGTTAAAAACTAATTTGTTCGCAAGTCGAATACCGAAAAGACTACTTTTTTTTCATATTTGTAATCACACAATATGTAATATTTACTGTATATCCCCTGGTGCATTGAAAAATTGACATGGTAATCTGAATCTGCGGTGTTACAAGTAATTTACTTCTAAATCTCCTTTGAGTAACATTGTTAAAAAAGTAATTTGTTCACAAGTCGAAAACCCGGAAACTATTTTGTTTTTCTCATATTTGTAATCATACAAGTCATATGTATTTGCACTCTATATTTATGGGTAAGATCGATGGCGCTATTTGGTTTTCTTTTTAGACAAAAAAGTTTCATTTTAAAACCACTAACGTGATATTCGATATTATAGATAAGTTTTAAAGTTGCTTTTGAGATCGATAATGCTGTCAGTAAATGATTATCAAAGAAATTTGATTCAAACTGCGGTTTTCTGGAGATTTCGTAGATGAAAATATAACTAATTTTGACTATTTTCTCCAAGGTTTGTGGATGAAATATAATCCTTAATTTCTTTGACGGACGTTCTTTCGACCTTTATCAGTGACCGCAAATCCCTCTCGTAAAGCAATACACGGCATACATATGTAATATACAGATTTCAAATAGATCAACGTCACTCACGACTAAGATTTGTTAAATTATTTCTTAGGAGTCGGATTACGACTTCCTGCGTTGCTATAGCAACCGGTATCGCCGGTTAACCAAATTGCTATATCTTGCGTGTTTCGTCTCGATGTTGCGTGTGTGAGACTAAAACTTCCAATTGCAAATGAAAAAAATATGGGTGGACACGAGATAATACCCCGGATCGTTTGGAAATAATTGTTTTGCCTTCGCAGATTCAAATTGATTTACGTCATCCTGTGAAAATTCTGCCTGTTCGATCACGTGATCAAATAGCGCCCTTTGTTTACATGAGAGTAACTCTGTATTCATATTTCCCAAATTACACCACGCGTTCTCCTTAAAGCGAAGCCCTTTTCAAGCGGCTACTGACATTTATCGATTTTTAAAAAGTTCATATTTATTTATAAAAACCGAAATCATTCTCATTCGTCATTGCCAACCCAATTTCTAACCTGAGTGAAGATGGGTTGAGGCCGTGGAATTTGAACTCGAGATTTATAATCGGATAAATTATTAGAGGATTCCCATTTTTGTTACGTCCAGGCAACATTCAGAAGCACTGTATATAGCCAGGGCACCGGTTTTCAACCAGTGGGCCATGGTCCACTGCAGGTCCACAAAAACGTTTCCAGATGGGCCACGAACCCATCAAAAATTGCTAAAGTTTTATGCAATAATTGTAATAATTGCAATAAATGCAAAATTAGCTTTAGTTTTTGCTACTGAGTGGTAATTTGTATTCTAATTATTAAAGTGTCCATTTCTGTGGACAAAGTTTTTTTTCTCTTGCATGAAAAAGTTAATAAGCCACAGAATTTTTGTGCAAAGAAAAAGGGTCACAAAAGAACTTAGGTTGAGAACCCTTGAGCTAGAGATTAAAACCCCACAACACAAAATCATAAAACCACGACCTCACGCAACAGATACATTGGCATAATTCTCCTAAAAATACCATAAATACTCAGATATTGAGCATAATCCATGACCGTAATGACAACAACCGCAAAACAGTTTTTAAAAGTTTTTTGTCCCTTCACTTCCGATACTGAATTGGAAAACAATTTATGTATGACGTTATAATAAGGAGCGAATCAAAACAAATTGTTCTCGTTGTACCTATTGTCACGTTACAATACACTGTCACAAAATATCAGTAAATTAGGAAAATAGTCAAAATTCTATACTAGAGTATATTTTAATATAGCCAGACTATGACAAAATAATTCAGTTTTCAAACATGCTTTAATGTGTTTATGACGAAATAATTCAACAATAGATTGTTATTTTGTTGAACAATTTTCCATGCACATACGGCGCGAAAAAAATGGTCGATGAAGGTCACAATGTAAAATTATGTGTGATAATATGAGATGTACATGTACCACATGTGTGACGTTATGTATAAGAAAAATATGTGTGTTGTTGTGTGACATAATGTGACAAAATATAATTCATTGTGTGACATTCTATGTGATTTTTTGTGTATCATTTAGTACTTAGGATAATAAATGAGTAAAAAACATGTGAATGTTATTACATTTTTGCAAGTATACTTAAACGTAATGATTTAGTTCGCGTGCGGATATTTTTGTTTTGGTCATGCCTTTGGTACTGGAGTCACAACAACTTTCGCCTATTGAGATGAAATAACGATAAAATACGTTGAATAAATGATAGTAGAATGCTATAGGCTCCAAGTAGACTTATAGATCGTTTCGTATATTGGTGTGGTTAGGGCGGAAAAATCGCCTTTCTGTTCTGTTTAATTATTTTTCAAATTTTTCAGTTTTTATTTTCACTTTTTTCAAATTCATTGATGCTGTAACAATTGACATATATATTGGCTGGGCAATCATAAGTATTACACCATCGAATTGATGAATTTTTTACTTGCTAATTTCACTTTTGCTAGACTGTACTTGATCAATAACCCCACATTCGGCGCCACTGTTCAAAACTATAATGATCCTATTTTATATTACAAAAAGTAGAAAAGCTCATTGTATATATAGTATTAAAACGATTTTGAAGGAAAAAAAAACTAATTCTGATTTATTTTGTTTTTCAGACGAGCTTCCAAGGTGTTCGGCTGCTTCACCAGGTAAGACATTAGTTTTAATAATGAATGATTTGTATTTAATCTGGGCATTGAAATGTCCATAGCAAGAAAACTGAGTGAAAAATAAGGATTATATAATATTATTATTGAATGGTTTAAAATTAAATGGAGAACTGAAGATAGATACCTATAAATATATTTTCCTATTCAAATGTCTATTAGATACTCTGAGATGAAACGTGAATATAATTCAATCTTCCCGAAACGCCGAATTAAACATTCACTTCGCAGGTGTCATTTTGCCGCAAAAAAATAAATTTCAGAATGGATTTATTAGACAATATATATATTACATATATATTATTTGAAGGCCGTTGCAAAAAATCGTATTCATTGTTTAGTAACATGGATTTTTAGCCGTGCATTTGACAAAATTCATAGATTTTAACAGTAGGAAATTGCATTGCTATCATTGTTTCAAGGGGTGTCTGTCACTCGTTTTTGAAACACTGCGACCAGCCACCCCCAAATAAATCGCAACGGACAATCTGACGCCCATAATTTCGCACTTAGCCTTCACTACTTATCAAAATCACACCATAAATCCTAAAAAATCTTAAAACTTGATCGCGTTGCGGTTACCGCCCCTCAAATCCGCACAAAAACAGGGTAAGCATGTCGCCTGTCTCGTTATCAATCCCCAAATCTTCCGAATGTCGCCAAAGTCCCTCGAAGGTCATGGTAAACGATTAACTTCAAACAAAAATTTAAATAATGCACTAAAAAGCGATAATCCATGCAATGTTTGAGAAATTTCAACGCAAATCTCCTGCCATTGCTCACTTGGTATATTTGTACAGCGTGACGTCTGTATAATCTTACGGGCGCTCCAGAAGTATGTGTACCAATATGGAGATAACTAATTTTGTTCTCTTATTTACATCAATTTGTATAAAGGGATTGAAACCATGGGCAGGGGGTATTTTCACTTGGCTAACACATACAGTCCCCGAACTCGTAATAGAACTGAAATAAGGAAAACCTGTGGAATTCTACCTTCTAGCATTATTAAATAAGTACTCTTTGTAGGTTTTTTCGGCACTGTAGTGCCCTAATATCTATATCAAATATTGCATAAGTTGACATCTACCTGGGAAAGCAGATATTTATAAATTTTTACCGCAATCGCGATCTTAAAAAAAACTTGGTAATTTTCGCAAACTTGAAATAAAAATTGTACTTCAAAAAACATCTTTTCTGTACTGTTCAATAACTGTTTGTCAAAATTTATTCAAAATTTACAAAAAGAGTAAAGTCATTTAAAGAAGAATACTTCCCATTCATTTCGCTCCCATACATTTTGATTTATTTCCAAAGGTATGCAATAATAGCCCCTTTTTTCTGAGAAATCCGAAATTCAGCACAATTGAGTAATTTCCAAACTTGCTAAGCTAGTCTGAGACTATTTGTCAACATATTATTTAAAATCGTCTGAGTTTTATTTATATAAAACATGGTTTTCCTGCTTCTTTGAATTCCAGTGAATTGGTCTGGTCGTCTTTCAATTGGAATCTTCGACTTTATTTCCTACTTAATCCCGTAGTTTGATTTGAGTTGACCTAAAAACATAAGGTGTGTACATTTCGCACCCAGGATAAGCTCTGTTGAGCCTTTTTGTCAATAAATAAAGCTGACTGGGTCCGATTTCTGGGCGATAAGTTTAACCGAAAAACGATTTGCCCTTTCATCTCTCCCTAGTCAGAAATAGGATATGCGGTCAAGCTTACTAAAATTCCTTTGCGGCTCATTTTTGGAATTTCGACATTGAGCGCAAAGTGACGGTAAATTTCACCAAAAACATATGAACAAATTTACAAAAATAGCTGTTAGCCCGCTAACCAACTATATTAAAATGCATCTTAGTTGGGAATGGTTCGAGCGCTAGTAAGCGTACAGTTCAAACTCCATATCATAAAATTGTTATAAAAAAATAAGGTATTGTAAAATTTCAAATAAGCCACGGGAGTTACGAGGTATGGAAAATTAAAAAAAAAATGGACGACAAAAAATACATGCTAGGAAGCGGATACCCCCAACCACTCAAGTGGCTATACCTGACTGACGCTAAATAGGAACTACGGTAGAAAATTTTACAACGGTATTTCCGAAAAAATATGGTGTAATACCCAAATGACATGGTAATTGTTCAAGCGATAAATACACCAATACCATATTAGTTCTTATCGTTTAAAACACTCATCTACATCACTTTTCCACGCAATCGTACACACCAGCCAGTGTCTCACTTTTATTATTCATTTATGTTTGAAGTAAATATGCTTAGATAAGGAAATTCAATTAAATTTTGATATTCTTCTACAGTGAAATGCAAGAAATGCAAAAGATTCAAAATGAAAGACAAAGTTTTCTTCGCCAAAGATTATGACTTCGGTTAGTATTTTATACAATTGGTATGATATTTTGCTAAGCGAAATAAGCACAAAACCTTTTGCCGAGGAATAGCTTAGCAACATGCTATTTATACTGATTCCGTATAATAACATTTTTTCAATGGCAATGGTAGATATTAGTATTTGGTCTCACCTGGGCTGGCCACGTCGATTTTTGTTCATTGTATATATACAGAACGAATGGGCCGCCCAATGGTTCGCATCTTTCTTAACTATGGTACGCCATGCTTAAGGGTAATACGCATTGTTGATTGTCCTCAACCATGGTAAACCACATTACCAACAGGATAGGAAATATAAAATTATACATCTGCTAATAACATTTCAAACTAGCATCTCCATTCTCGTAATATGCCTTGATTCAAGACAAGTTGAATAAAATTGATAAATAATCATACGAGATCTACAAATAAGTTTAAAATTTCAATTTTTGAGTATGAAACTTACTATAATGTAATTAACTTTTACGTCTTATTCATAACTGTAATATTAACCTTTTTACAGTCATTCGCGCAAAGATAGAAAAGGTAATCCAGAACCCATGCGACGCAAGTGTTAAGATCAACGTCACTCAAGTCTTCAAAATGAAAACAATTCTAATCGGACCTGGACCAAACGTCCTCACTTTCAATGATTCGTGCGCCTGTCCCAAACTGAAACGAGGGTAAGTCTTCGTTTTCGACAATATTGATTCGTGAAACTCTTAAAATATTAAAGTTTGCGTGTCTGCCTCGAATTGAGGTAAGTGAGTTCTAGCCTCTGCTGGTTTGTAATAATATAATGAAATAGAGAATTTATTTTCGGTTGTTTTTGTTGATTGTTATTTCTATTGTGTATTAGATTTAAACCAGTGAGGGATATGTAAAATTTCGAGATCAGATTCTTCTTAACGTATCAAACTCCACATTTTTTTTTTTTTTTAAATCATCAGTTCTATTATTAGTTGACTAATGCACGGGTTCGCTGATCATCGAATTATTCTAAGAACGGCTTTGCGCAAAATCCGCTGAATCCCTCCACTGAATCTATGCCATAAAAACCGCATTCCTCGAAATTTAGTTAACGTTTTGTTACATTGCTAACTCCAATCTTGTACGTAATCTCATAGTTTCGCATTGCATGTATTATTCGTTTCACAGACGTGAATACATTCTTGGAGGTTACGAAAACTCAAGCAATGGTGACCTGCTGCTACAAAGAGAAAGTATGGCAGAGAAATGGGGAAGAAAATGGGAAAAGAAAATTGGTGTAAGTCGATAAAAAAACATGCTAAACTGAAACTTATTGCCCTAATTCTTCTCCAGTTGACGGGATACCATGTTTCGTAATTTTACCACCTATGCAATAATATAGTATTTCCAAATAGTATTTCTTCGGATGCAATCTGTAAAAACTTGGTCAGCAAATTTTCTATTGTCAGGCTTACATGATAAACAAAATATACAATTCTGTATTATAAATAGTCGTCTTATTTCTTAGGGTAATTGCATCGCAGGGTACTGATTTTGAATTCAGTTATTAAGATTTCTTGTATAGGGTAGTATTCTAATAAGCTGAGTTAAACTTATAAATTTTATTTTAGAATTTAGATTTTATTATCGTATTATTTATTTTTAATATTAAAATATTTCGAACAAGGATTGTAACGTTTTTCGCAATTTTAGAAATGGGTGAAAAAGAAGGCCAAGACGCCACTAAATCGACGTAGAAGGACAAACGAGTCTGCAGCGCCACCTAAGCGAACAAGAAAAGGCAGAAAACGCAGTAGAAAGACTCCGGACAGAAAATGAAAACCGGGACAAGGAAGTTAAAAAACACGGAAAATATAAACTATAAGAGAAGTTTTACTTCGGTTAAATTGCTTCAAGTCCATTTATTTTGACGCTTGTGTGGAAAGAGTGTAGAATTGTATAAGACTATTAAAGTTCAAAGCAGTATTTAGGTTTTAACTGTTTTATTTAATTGAAATTAAAACGCACAAACAGTTCAAGGTGATTCCATCAAAAATGAACCATGATTTTGTGTTCCATTTACTTTGCTAAACATGGTACTCAAAAAAGGTGAAAATCGGCTCATTGGCGACCTCTAGCGATTAAGATACATTATATAGTTTAGCAGTGATAAGATCATAAATACCAGAAAATATAAGATTTCATCAAATACATAAATTGCGTTTACGTACGGCGGCGGCATTAAACAGATTCATTAAAACATTTTTTTTTGTAAATCAATTTTTGACATAGTTTCTTGGCAATGGCCGTTGATGCTTCTTCGATTGCATCTGTATCTAAGTTATTGAAAATATCTTTCACGTTGTATTAAAAAACGTTGAGGTTGGTTTGATATTTCTTAAAAATTTTAAATTGAAAAAAATAATCCATAATATACATATTTTGTTGATTATAGTAGCGTGGCCCTGGCTACTGCTTCCGAGTTACAGAATATTTAAAAGTGTGACCACTCATAGTACCATCATATTTTTTATAGTCGCCTGATTAGAAATTTTCAACCAAGTCTCGAAGTATACAATATTACTTGTACTTTCTTGTAGTCGCTTTTTTGTGCTTTTTTTCTGTTGTAGTGCATTGCATAACGCTTGTCGCCTTCTGCTTTCAATATAGCTCCAAACATTAATTACATCAATAGTAACCAAACTTGTGTAGTTATGCGAAAAATCCAGTAAACGATTTTATGGTATTCAAGTACGACTCACATTGTTTTTCAGCAATTTTCAAGATGCCCATGTAGATATTATTCGGACGTAATTTTCAAAATATCGATTCTGATTCGCAACGTTCGGATATTAAATTCTTTTCAAAAAAAAAAGTTATTCGAAAATAAGATTTCTAGATTACGTATGTTGCAAATATTTAAGAGTTTTGGTCACATTTGCACGACATTCAAAGTAAAGTCTTGAATTTTTTCAACAGCATAGATCTGCTCTCGTTTTAGCATATTCAGCGTAGTGTAGTTATTATATATGTAGGGATGCTTGTGACAAATTATGACTCTTGTCGATATTAAAAACCAATTCTTTTGACTGGATTAGCTACTAATTTAGAAATGCTGTACATGCTAGCAAGTGTTTAACGCAATTGGTCAAACCAATTTAATGAAATTCTAATTTTTGTCATTTTATGAAATTACTATATTATTTTTATGTTTCGTAATGTTTTTTTTTTAATTTCATTTAAGGCCTAAAATACAAGGAGAGAAGTGGCGAAAATTAAAAACGAAATTTTATATAGTGCTACGGACAAGCACCACCCGGGCTTGTGATAAAACCGATTGCTGTACAAACTAATGTTTAACAGAAGACCAAATTGCACCCAATCCCTATTACCGTCTTTCAAGTAATGGTTGATGAAAACAAAAACCACAACAATATATTAATTAGCATCATTAAACGATCCAAATGTACATTTCGTGTACAACAAGTTCTTAATTCATATATTGGATGTCATTGTAATGTCCAATCAGTTTTTCGGTATTTGAAATATGCATAGGGTATCCATCAAGTCTTACAATTTTTAAAATTGCAAATATCATTCATCGATACCATATATTATTTTCGCCCGCACAGTACCGAAATGAAGTATAAATACTAGAATAACTACTGATTAAAAAACAACAAACCTGGTTAAGATATATGGAGAACTGACTTCATAACAAAACTGAAATTGTAAAGCGACTTTATGGACACCCTGTATAACATTCAGTGTCGGTTGCTAGCGATATATAACATTGGGGTTGATTTGCATATATGATTTTGGTGTCGCTTGTGATATACATCCAGCCAACGTTCTTTTTGCAATACTCAAATATTTCATCTTGGAAAAATCAACCGCGGCTTCGCCGCTGATTCTGGCCTATTTTCTATATATTCAGTTTTGTTTTGTATACAAATTGTGTGTTTATGTATTATTTTGGGTTTTACAGGCAGATTTATTGTTATTTTTATTATTATAGTTGCTGAAGTATGCCTTGCTCGTTTGGTTCCATTTATTTGTTTTATTTTTATGCGTGTTTATATATAATCTTTTTTTTGTTTGTGATTTCTATAGTTCTAGTATTTTATCAGGTTTATACCTTAGTTGTCAAATTCGAGAATCAAAGGATATAAAAAACTGCATTCCGTGACCTAAATAATTCTGGCAACGCTTTAAAGTTGTCAAGCGAAAGTTTGCTTACACTATATATATATGAGAAACTTGTCTCAGATTTCACCAAACGCTCACTTTTTATCTTCAAATCAGGCTATAAATAAAACTAAAAATGAGTGGTAGATTCAACTTGAATATACACTGACACTCATTTTTAGTTTGTGTCTTCCTATTCCACAAAAGTACTTGGAAAATAGTATAAATAAATGCAAACAATAATTCCAAACGCAAGTTCGAGTAAATCATAGAAGCAATGACCCCCATCTAATTGTCAATAACTCAAAACTTGGAAAAATGCACACATATAACGGTTATAAACTTGAAAAAATGCACACATATAACGGTTATCAATGTCGAATTTTTGCATGGAACCAGTCTTTATTTTTCAAATCATTTTAAACTGATCTGGCCGTATTATTCATCAATTAAAGTCAAACTAACGTTTTGTATTTTCATTTTGCTTTATATATCGTTACCTGCCTGTACCTATGCATTTGTTTTTGTAAATAAATAACTTCCAAAGTTACATGTTTGCACAACTTTCATCCATACGTTTTCTCAGTAGTCCATATTTATGATTTGTAACTGCCGACGGGAGCAAATATGTATGCGTACAAATTTCCTTTAGGTACAAACGTCTATGGCAGCAAAATTGTGAAATTGAAAATTTCTGTTGGTGAAAAGCTAATAGACGCGTTAAATAATTCAGGGGATTATTTTGCGATATTAGCCCACTTTTTTATTCAACTACGTTTTGAAAATAAAAAAAATAATCATGTCAATATATAAATATTCAATAAAAGCGTGACCTCTCAACCTTATTTTGAAACGTATGCCATCAATCATATAATGACATTTTATTTCTGACTATCGTAAAAATATCACCACTACACGAGAAACGTTCGAAATTGGTACATGAAGTTCAATAATTATCTCATCATTGGGCACATGATGGTTTTGTGAGTACAGAAGAACAGCACCAGTCCATATAATCGGTCTAAAATCGGTACATTATCGTCACACAAAGTTTCACAAAAATTTTCCTAGTCGTGATGTTTCTCTCTAAGTGAGATTTTGATGGCTCCTTCAAACAATCTACGGATTATTCTGCTCAATATAATAATTGTTCACCCAGCACTAGGAAAAGTTAAAAAGTTAATATGCTCAGAACAAAATATATATTATATATGTATATTTATATATACGATATACGGTTTGTGTACATGACATCTTGGACTGCTGTTGACAGAACAAAAACATCAATTTTCTAAGATATTGTAAAAAATGCGTTTTATGTAATTTTATGTAATGTAATGAATTTTATATCATCACCCATGATATGAAAAGCAGCACAAAAATTCAAAAGACCTGATATTTAAAATAAATCAAATATATTTTATTAGCTATATCATGCATGAATTTTATCGATATTCAATAAAGGGGTCTTTTCGTTCGCTAATGCATTACCGTTGGTCGTGTGTCCGTTTGTCTGAGTCTGATTGTCACGCGGTACAAGTTTTTTGAACGTCGTACATATCAAGACTACAGCAACAAACATCAAAATGAGAACAAGACCGCCTAAAATAGGCAAACGTTTTTCAGTCACCATTGGCGCAGACCACAACGGGCCCAGGATACGACCAGCGCCAGCAAACATGAGCAGAACACCCTGATTGAAACTTTGTGTCTCAGTGCTTGTTATTTTTGAATACAGTGACATCATTGGAATAATAATGAGCGGGAAACACATTGTTAAAATAATCCAATCAACCCAAAATAATGACAAAAGCCAGTCAGGATTTTCGACATCTTTTCTAAAATACAAAACAGTGGAGTAAACCGTGAATATTGAATAACATAATACACCACCAGAACAACCTGCCAGCAGAATAAATCGATCCGTCAGCTTTCTGTTGACAACGCCAATTACTGCGTACACAAAGATTATAGCAGCACCCCCTGCACAAAACATGAAGCTATTACTAATTCCGCCCCAGCCGAAAAATAATAAGCTGATCGGTGTCGCTGCTGATTCGAACCCAGTCAGCGCTACCCAAGACATGAACGAGACGAGCAGGCAGACCAGAACTTCTTGCCTCAAAAACTCGTCACGGAAACTTCTAGTTGTTTTAGGAATTCTAATTTCCGGGGAAGTTGTTCTTTCGTTAGAATGCTCACTGTTCTGTAGCATGCCGTTATTGCTTTGTCGCGTCGGTTCACTAACTTCAGCCCAGAAGTCTTTTTGAACATCCTTGAAAAGTAGCATTACAAGTATCGTATGTATTGTCCACATTCCTGTCATAAAAAGTCCAGGTGAAGAAAACTCATTCACATCAAATGGTCCAAGTTTAAAATCCAGCTGACTTAGGAACAGATTGAATCCGGGACCAGTAAGCATACCCACATTTCTCATGAAGCCCAGCATAGATAAGACCCCAGTTCTTTGCTTTGTAGTTGTCGTCTTTGAGATCATGCCGAAGTAGGAAGATCCAGCTCCGGTTCCAACTCCGGATATCAATCTCGCGCCCCACAATATCCGGTAATCTCCGCCTACAAAATACATAAAATTCCCAATAATCTCAAAAATGTTGCTGATGATGGCGCACATCTTATTAGCGCCAGTCTTATCAGCTATTCGCCCATATATCGGTGCTGATAATAATCCAGTAAGACTGAACGAAGACATGATAATCCCAAGAAATCCAGTGGGTCCATCGAGAGATATGAGATATCCATTTAGAGTCGGTAGAATAACAGCGTATTCCACTCCGCATAAAAAGAAGTATAGTCCAGTACAAAGCAATCGTCCATAGCTCTGACGAGTGCAAATCATTTTCCTATTCTAATGTCTTCTAAGAGGGGAATCGATTAGAGATATTTTGATGCTAAGCACTATGCTGAAAATAACATGAAATTTTTTCTCAAGGTTAATATTTACACCCGACTGTATATCTAGCATGTTTTATTTAAATAAAATTAATTTTGTATTTTGAATTACCGTTTTCTGAAAAGCGAGAATTTATATAATTCCGCGACATTTAACCCACATTATTACCCAAAATCGTCCACCTGATTAATGACGTCACTGCCAATTATTACCAATTCACGCTTTTGTGTTATTAAGATCCCAAACCCTTGAACAGTTTTTCTATCGTACTGCTGTATTTTAAGGAGAAGCCAGAGTTATTTTATTTGTGAATTTAATTAGGAAGTTTCAACATTAAAGCTTTTAAGTAATATGAAAAATACAGGAGTTGTGAAAGACGTATTGCTCCGTCATCGGGTCCACATCACCATTAGATAAGCAAAAAATAAATAAAAAATAAAATAAAGAAACAAATAATAAAGATCAGAAACAATAAATAACAATAGAAATATATTAATTCTCAGGGGTTTACTGGCATACTCTAGTGGTAATAAACCAAAGTGTGCCAAGTGCCAAACTAAATTCTTGTTCTTATTTGTATGCAAAGCATTCGAAATGTAAAAAAAAATAATTCGTCTGCTCTCTATACAAGTTTCACTTTTAATTAATTATTCGCTGATTAGATTTGTCTTATGTACTGCGACGTCGTTTGATGAGTCAGAAATAACTCGTCAGCACATAACATGACAAAATATTGCTACTTAACACCTCATTGTTGGTTTACCCGCCGATCTCGTTTTGAATGAGACTAACAATTGCTTATTTTGATGGTGATGGTCATTCTTGAAATAGAAAAAAATGACAGATAGGTTAACTAGTTTGAAATTATTCTGAAATTGCCAGAAGAGCAAGAGTTGGCCTGGATTTGGAGATTTGTAAAACTTTGTACGTCTAGCATAAGTCTCATCTAAATTTGTCTCAACTCAAAAATAAAACTTTGGTTACTACAAGAAAGAGAGAAAAAATGTATCTGCTCAAAAAGTTGCAACTGAAATTTGAAACAATCTCGAAGAAACGTAAACCATCTAGATCTAGAACTTGGTGAAGAAAAGATATCATGGTCTCATAAAAATAAGTCATTTGGTGCTTTTGTACAATATAACCTCTTCCCGCTATCGCAGGAGTTCATATTTTTATACATATTCCTTTTTTATATATCACTATTTACGGTATTCCCTATAATTTCTAAGACTATTTTTTTATTTTACTTCTTACAGTTATTGTCTCCCACTTAGTCTGTTCCCCGAAATGCTTTTCTAGCCTAGTGCGAATGACAAACGAGTTAGACAATTTGACCTTAACACGTTTTGAACGTTCTCGAGAGAAAATAAATAAATGACTGACGATTATTTAAGTAACCCAATTAATCTTGAAAATTAAATGAACTCGTGTATTATTTGTTCAAAACTTTCGCACCGTAGAAAACTTTGACGAAATTATTAATTACATACAAAAAAGATGAGACTAATTACGAAAAACAGTTGTGTGGTCTTTGAGGTGTTTACATACAAATAAGTGTTTTTTGCTGGCATGTTTAGGTTTTCGGTTTTTGAATAGTCTGCCTGTTATAAATTTATATATCACACGTTGTTTATTATAGAGATGTACCGATACCACTTTTGTCGCCGATACCGATACCGATCCGATACCAGCTAAAAACGCCGATACCGATACCGATGCGCCGATACTACAAAAAGGCCGATATTACCGATATTCCGATACTATGTAATTATTACTTAATTAGGTGTGCTGTGTAGGGCAGACGGGTTAAAACAATGGTCTTTGAGCGTTGTTCATAGTACACATTATTTCAGATCGAAAAGAAAGATATATCACATAATATGAAATTAATGTTTGATGTTCGCTTCAACTGATTAAGATACATTGTACAGTAACGCTAGTAATCTCGGTGTTCAATTAGAAAACTCATAAGCCCGATGTCCAATTTGAACTTAATATGAATATCGCGACCTTCGAATATCGTTATTCGTGTTTAAAAGAATATCGAATATCACCCACACATTCTAGCGCCGCCGTCCTACGTTCAAATTAAAAGCATTTTACAAATATTTTATTTTGTGGCTAATCGTAATCGTCGACGCAATAAGTCAAAACTAAAATGGAAAGAGTATCAATCAGCACCGACAAAAAGAAGGCCTACCTATAACCGTCGAGGATTGTTTTTTTACTTTACTATTTTATAATATAAAATATTTTACAATTGCTATCATATATTTTGAATTTCGGACTTTAGTTTATCGATGTCGACGGATTAAATGACACTCGTACTTGACGACAAACAGTCAGAATTTATACCCGTGACAAAAGTCCATGTGCCGTTAATATGGACCCCAATTCCACTGTATGATTTGGAACTGGGCGCCTAGTTGCTTTTTGTTATGTGCTGTGTTGATATATTTCTGCATAATTACTATGTAATATTAAAAATGTCAATATTAAAATTTGACAGCAAAAATAGCCAAATTAGTTGAGCTAGTTTGGCTGATGAATAGCTAAAAACACGTGTATCCTATTCTCTCGCGGGGGTGGGGACATGTATGGCTCATAGCTCACGATCTCTCCAGACAAAAAATAAATTAAAAAGTAGTATTCCAACTTACTTTTTAAAACATTCTGGACCATATCAAAAAGATAAATATATCGGAAATATCGGCCTTAATTTAACCGATACCGATACATGACCGATACCGGAAAAATGACCGATATTGCCGATACCGATACATCGGTACATCTCTAGTTTATTACAGTATTATGTTTTTATAATTTTTTTATTGTTGGACTTTCTTATGGGTGCCACTGCTCGATAAACGAATTTGGCCACTCAATACCCTGCGAAGGTCGTCGGTTCGAATCCTACGTGATGAAAAACTATGTGCGAGAGGATTGCCAGCCTCTCGCTCAGTGTTTCACGTAACCTCTGTCTGACCTCATACCGCTTCTTCCTTCGCGAATTCTGAATTGAACTGATTAACTATTCATATACCAGCCACGAAATGGTTATCGGAGGCCATTGGTGGGCATGTAATTAAGTCGTTTCGTGGGCTTTCCTCTCGTCTAGGATAAATGACCAGAAACTCTTCTCACACCCGACATTGAATGGTAACTGAGCAAGTGGTCATAGTTCGCTATATCAGGGCTATCCAAATCCGTACCTTTCGACTATTCGAATCGCATCTGCATATTTTCGCGGTTACTTAGTTTTCTCAAATCGCTTTTCTGTTTGACTTCAAAGTTAAAGGCCCTGAAATATCTTTAGGAGCACTGTGAAAATATTTTCCCTAAAGACCTAACCTAGTAATTTTGAAGTTTTGCTCACGAATCTTTGGTAAACAAAGTCGAGTAGCACTGCGCTAATAGTACTCTTCCTGGGATAAATAGGAAAATTCATAACATTCTTTAATCACCCCAGTGATTGATCGATTATGGATTAAAAACACGATCGTTTAAAATACGCAAAGTATAATCACAAAGAATATTTATATCATTTAGGATATAAATAAGTAATAATAGAGCCTTTTTACTATTTGCAATTCAAGTTTGTGAAGTACCGGTATTATAAATGAAATATTAAATCGCTTGTCAGTCGCAATTATTATAAGAATTCATTGTACCAATACTTAAAATCCTTTCGCCCGAACAAACTAACATCAGAATGATACCGTATATAAATACATAACTCCTATTCTGATATGTCTTCTCGTTCTACATATAGACGATATGCTCGCACTTTTTTTGAAAGCGCTTTCTCCATAATATATATGTATGTTTATTTGCCTTGAAAATGTAACAGTATCTGCATAATAAATAGACGATATAGTTAGTCTTATTTGTTGGTTTATATATTTCAATTCCTCTGCATATTCAGAATAATTTAGTCTTGCTCGTGTGGATCAGCCCTCACTACATATATGTTCCATCTACCCTTGCCTTGGATCATAATAACGCATAACCTCGTGAAATATTCTTCGCTACATGACGCCCTATTTTATAACTGTGATGACATTGCAAAATGGTTCGCTATCCATTGCGTCATTCAAAATAACGAAACCCGCTGATTTGCAAAATGAGTAACATTATTATGCAGATGACGTAATTTATAAGGGAAGTAAAACCTGGGTTGCGACCCACACTTGTGTCGCATGAAAATATACTCGGGTCGCATGTTTTTTCAACAAAAACATAAAAGTTACCGCTTATATTTTCTAGTTTAGTCGATATTTGTATTAAAATGTTTTTCACTAGTAATATTATATGTTGAAAGTATTACAGCGTGAAAACTTAGCAGCTGCTGTCTTGCTCAAATAATGTCACTCCACGATTTTAAAAACTCGCTTATGGCAAATAATGCAGCTTCCTCACTATGAGTGAGAAAGCTTGGAAAAATAAATTTTATGTTAAAATGGTATTTTCGCATTAGGAAATTTGTGACCACATATAGCATAATAATTACATACCGCCTAGTATTTGAGCACACTCTTGGGTCGCGAGATTTCACAAAAAATTGGGTCGCTTGAAAATCGGTTAGGAACCACTACTCTAACGATCATATTATAAATACCTCCCTAAATAACAAGAGTTGGTATGTTGGTAACTGCAGGCTTGCAATATTTCTTGAGTTACCTAGTGTGATTCCCGCTATAACCTGTTCTTGCAAAACAACATTACCACTGGCTTTCAATTCCGTACATCTCATGAACATTTCGATTTTTATTATAACAAAAAATAAATTATTCCTCCAACCCAACCTTTTAGGTTGAACGGAACCACAATACAACATTCCAGAGGCTCGAGAAACCTCTGTGCAATAGTTTTTGTCAGAATTATAAATCCATCAATATATATAAAACCTAATACTTGAAAAACGAAATGATCCACAGTAACCTAGGTGATTCAAGGGCTGCTGCATCTTGCTGCACACCAACACAAATATATGTCTGTAACGTTTTGTCTGATCAAGGTCAGACATACTTAGTTCCTCACACATCCTATTTTGTAATTGAAATGATATTGCGCAACAGCTTGTCCTAAATTGCACCATTCAAAATAAAGTGACCTGCTGACATACAGTAAAAGGAGGCGTAATCATGCAGCGTAGGATAAATAGATTTCGAAAATTATGACTAATTTGATAAATTAGAACACGCGGTATTTTAAAATCGAACATTAATTTTTAGTAGTAGAAATGATATATAGGGTGTCTATAAAGTTTCAAAATTTTATAAAGTTACGATGGGAAATATTTGATAACAATATTGTTTTGGCCCTCACAGACGTTTAAATGAAGTAAAAATACTTAAACAATTGCTGATTAAAAAAACAACAAATCTGGTTAAGATATATTAAATACTGACTTTATACCAAAATTAAAACTGTGAAGGGATTTTATGGACACCACCGATCATGATATGAATATACTTAAACAATTGCTGATTAAAAAAACAACAAATCTGGTTAAGATATATTAAATACTGACTTTATACCAAAATTAAAACTGTGAAGGGATTTTATGGACACCACCGATCATGATATGAATGCGAAGTCCAGACATCTTCTCGCACATAACTTTCCCCGCAGTGGATTCGAACCCGCGAACCCATGAAGATTAGTCAGAGGTGCTGTGGCAAGCTTATTCCAAACGCTTAGCACGATGAACCACACCACCGAGCCATGTAAGAATAAGAGCATAGTTGAGCCGAACGTCTTATAATGAGGCTTAAAATATGATATTTTCACCAGCCCAAATTTCAACTGCAATTGAACAATTAATAGAAGAAATAATATTAATAAAACAATAAATTAAAAAAATGCCATGGTAAAATATTCAAGATATTTACAACTTCGCACAATTAGTTTGCACCAATGATCAGGGGTGAAAATGCGAATTTAACAAACAAAATGTAAGAAATATGAATGGCTCTTTAGAGTGATGGAGGAGCGTTAAACTCGTACTGGGTATCTGTCGAACAGCGATATCCTTGATTAAGCCTAACAGAAAATGACAAAAAAAAGTGAAGCTCCACATTCCTAAAATACAGAATGCAATTAGAAAATAAATTGAATTGTAGAATTACTCAAAATAAAAATAATAAATATAGATTTGTTTGAAAGAGTATACACCCGTAGTATGTATACCAGGGAAAATACCCTCATATATTACTGAGTCGTAAGAATTATTTTACGTCATGTCACGAGTAAGGTTTAGTCCTTGAGTCATTAGTATTAGCGAGCTGCTATTAATCTTTTCTTACATCCCCCATTCCTTCGTTTAGCAGTTTCACCATTTCCCCGGGTATCGTTTTTTTACATAATTATATCACATTGGTACATACACTTCTGGAGCGCTAAAAATGGAATCCATAAATTGTTTAATTGCTTCTACATAAGTTGAATAAAATTTATTAAATATTTACGCTCCAACTTATGTTTGTGCATGATTTTACTCGAAAGTTTCACGAATTAAGGACGGAATGCACGAAAGTTATGTTCTTTTTAGAATATGTTCGAAATCAAATCCTAAGCATATAGCTAATACAAATAAAACAGTATTCAAATGTTACTTTTAAATCCTAATTTTGCAATATATAAAATGATTTTCGATAATTTTATGAAACATACAAAGCACTTTGCAAAATAGCATTTCGTATTTAACTTTAGAAAATATGTCTTTCAAATGTGATAAAAAAAAACACTTCTCTTGTTGTAAAATTGCACACACTAAACCGCGTTGTTTTACCAATTCGCTACAGCCATTTATTGTCGTCATGACATTACGTGACACCGTGATATCTCTTGCTCTCTGAGATATAACAGCTTGCTTGCCTGTTTCAGAATATTTATATTTCTAAAGTGCTGTTTTGGGATCGGACGTATTTTGGGTATTCAATTCAGGTCTCTTCGACTTCCTTTGACGTAAATTACTGTTAGACCTAAATCACGGGTGTCGCTGGCCTATAACCAGTCTTGGTGTCTCGCGCCTTTCTCCACCCTAAAATACCATTTTACTTCTTTTTCGTATTGTTTATTGATAAAGTGCACTTTAGTATGATGAAAAAATTAATTTCCGATTATTGGTTAAACCAATGTAGTTTTACTTCTTTTATAACTTGTTCTGTACGTTGTGCAAGATCTCGACAATTTATTACCGAGTACTTTATACTCAATTGGTCGAGAATAGAAATCATAGAATAGTGTAGATTCATAAGTTCGTCAATGTCGCATTCTCGTCTAACTCCGTCAAATTCAATAAATTCTTTTTCTGGTTTTACCATGAATACGAGACAAGTTTTTCCTTCTTTCCATCTGAAACAGCAATTGAACTGGTTAAACTTACGATTACTATATCATTATTATAGCAAGCTAGTGCAATCTAGCGTAAGATTTATATTTACACATGAAATTTATACCCTATTTCCATCCTTTAGCACCAGAATCTGGAGCATGAACTGACCATTGTACATTTAGTCGTTTTGCGGTACTTCTTTGTCTTGTGTATTTTACTAGAGTTTTATTTGTATATTTAATGTCTGTTGTCTTTTAACGTAGCAGTCCTAAGCTGCAGTTATACATCTTGTCGCACATCTGTGTCTCAGGCCAGTAAGGTCGTTAACATATATCCCGCCTCAGTTAAAATGTTTAAATATTATGCAGATACTGTTACATCTTTGCGGCAAATAAACATACACACATGCGAATCCATAGCACATATAACAATTTAGTTACGGTCTTGGGCGAGATATCTCGGGCTTGGATACCGAGTAGTTCGCTGATCATTTATTGGTATTAATGCAAGGTCACACGCAGTCACATAGTAGGGTTGATCCATTTATATACGCAATTTTATCGGCGACTAAGAAATTGCCAAGCCATGGAAAGTTAATGCGTTGCGCGTTAGCAAATGAAAATTGAAGCTTTTTAAGTTCAAACGATAAGAAAGACCACAACAATATAGTGAATTCCACATAACCGAATGTCTTAATAAAAAATTCTGGTCTACTCGACCAATTTGAACATAGTTTCATACTTATAGTTTTATGGTATCTGAATGAAACCGCTGATGTAAAAATTGTATGTTCATTGTATATTTATCTACTTTTTTATATTATTTTATCTTTTAAATTTTTAATGTTTATTTCTTTTTTCATAAATATATATGTTTTTTACGAAAAGTTTGTAACAGCTATTTGGTAATTTTCTTGTTTTCCAAAACGTTATATATATATATTTAAATTATTTCAGTGCGTCATTTTTTATGTCTTGAAAATATTTATAATTATTAATTAGGAGCATCTGAATGTATTTGTGAAGCTAAATGAGAGTTGTGGATGTCGCTGTTTGAAAACACTTGAAGACTCCCACGGCTTATGTCACACAATTAAAGTTGGTTTTCTTTTCTTTTTTCATTTGCCATATTTGTCATGATGTTTTTATATCTTGTGTTGACAACTAAATAATGATTGAATGATTGTTTGGAATCTACAACACATTTTCGAATCGATAGCTTCTTTGAGCAAAATGCTTCTAATTGTCTATTCACGCATAAAGTTTTCGCACATAAGTAAAACCAAGAGTTGTTATTGATAGCTTGAAATATTTCATGAAACATTCTCACCTTGACAGCATCTTTTTTGCGTGTGGAACTTTAAATAATTCTTCAGCCTCCGACTCGCCGACAAAAGCCTTTGTATATCCCAATGGATCGATTATACCACGGTCCCAGAGAAAACGATTATAATTTCCGTTACATTCTGAAATTAGATACAAAAGCATGAGAAACTTCGGTCTTGTTGCTGAGTGGTTCACCGATGAACTGACAATAGAGAGCTTATGGATACTGACTCTTCCAAATATCTACAAATATAGCAATCGAAAGATTTTTCATTAAGCATAATGTGAAAAAAGTCACTTATAATACTTAATCATAATTCTTAGCTCTTGAATCATCGACTCCAATAAACTGACGTTTTGAAAAGTTAGATCAAGGGCGTGTAACAGGCGTCTCGCGACCACAACCCGGCTTGCCAAGCCATTCAGTGTGGCCCTTGTCAACACTCAATTTTCCCACATCAAACATAAAATATTAAACTGATAGTTTATGTTTAAAAAGGCGCTCACGTGTTTGAAAATACAAAATGTTTTTATTTTTTGTCTTGTCCTGCGTTAAATATTTCGCCATTTTGCGCGGTGCCTTTATTGCCGTAAGACCATGCGATGGTCTTTTCATTGTGATAAATGTTTAGATTGTTGGAACATGGAAAACGAATTTTTTTGTGTGTGACATCGAATATATTCTCTTGTACCTTGAAATAGGACTCTAAAATAAATTTTAGAGAAAACGCAACAAAATTTGAATTAAACAGCCATTGTTATCATAGATTAAGGGAGTGCAACATATTTTTTCGGTGGGCCACATAACCAACTTCGGACATCTAGCCGGGTCACAAATAAAATTTAGCAGGAAAGGCAAAAGAAGAGAATGTGGCTATGAATTATCCTTGCATTAATAAAGTCACCGGGCAAAACGAGAAAGATTTAACGCAGCTACAAGATAAAATGACATCATGTATTTTTACCCACTTGAGCGACTATTTAAACTAAAAATGTTTGATTCGAATTGTATGCTTGTCATGAATATCTGAGTGTTGACAAGGGCCACACTGAATGAGTTGGCGAGCTGAGTTGTGGCCGACAGGACGCCCGTTGCACACCCCTATCTTAGGACGTAGATAATCTAGATCAGGGGTCACCAACCTTTTCGAGGCCGAGGGCTACTTTCTGGGTACAGATTAAGCCGCGGGCTACCAATTCAATGTACACTTCTAAAAAAAAGCGGCTGTGTGGCCATCGTTAGTGTTGTAAGCGTTAGATTCGCAGGTTAGAATCCCATGCGAGGAGATTGCTGGACCCCATGCCGCCGTTGGGATGGCTTCCTTCGCCATCAAGTACATGCTTACGAAAACAAATAACTAACTAATCCCATATCCGACATGAAATGGTAACCGGACGAAAGGCCTTTGTTCGCCATAAGATTAAGCCGTCTTATCGGCTATCTTCTCCCCCGGGATAAATATGTAAATCCCATCCTATCCTGAGTTTATGTCAAAAATGTTGATTCACAAAGATAGGTTGAACGAAACAATGGTCTCGTAAAATAGAATTGCTGTATGATTTGAATCGCGAGCTTTTTCTGCCCGAACTGCGCTGACCAGTGGATAGTTAGCGCGGTAGATCGCGTGACAAGCCGTGAAATATCTTTTCGCTTTGCCGTCGCTACAATCGCCCCACAAATGACACACGCGCAGGCTGTTTTCATGGTGGGTTTTTCATCGTTTTTCTGCCATTTTCTTTGGAATCAATAATTATATTATTGCTGCTCCACAAACCAACGGACAAGAAAAAGCGCGGGTTCGTGGTAAGTGATATCAGTGTGATGTCATAATTGGAAGAGTGTTAATTGACCCGTCACATTACCGAGGTCAAATAAAAATCGGGTTGGTGGCTATAATAATTAATATAGTGCCATTGCCGATTCCCATATAAGTGTGATTTATACAAGAATAGCAGGACAAAATTTAATTGATGTAGCTTACTCATAAGCGCCTTTATTAAGCTTAGTTTGGAACAGATCTGCGGGCGACTCATATGGTCTTCACGGGCGACTTGGTGCCCGCGGGCAACGCGTTATTGACCCCTGATCTAGATAATTCACCTTTTATTTCATTATCCTCTGTCGTGCATTGTATTTGCAAAATTTCTTTCTCAAATTCGAAGAGTACGTCTGGATTGCGAAGTTGTTCCTGTAAGTGTGAAGAAACATATTATTTTTTATTGATTGGCTTGCGTTTATGGTAAATCAGTCAGATAATTATTTACGAGAAGTTTAACTTTCATTGAACAAGACTTTTGACAATGATTAATTATATATAGAAAAGTATCATGTTCTTCAATTTAAACAGGGCATTTTATTTACATTCGATAAAGTCTATGGTGTCTTTGACTTGGATGGTAAAACGTGCTATCAACAAAAATTCAAATTTTTTTAAACCCTGATTCTTGTTGCAATATCGTTGTTCCGGGTGAGGTTTCAGAAACCCTTCTTTAGATAAAAAGACTCGGGATACTAGACATGTTACACTAAAGTTATGCATCAATACTGCTCAGGTCGGCTTCGATTAAAGCGGTTTCATTCTCAAACAATGTCATTCGAACTTTCTAGCTGCGTTCTTACACTTAGAATTAATATAGTCATAATCAGTTTTAAAATAAAGAGCTCAAGAAAATTTGGTAAAACTCTGATAATCTTGAGCTGGACTGATCTCATGAATATACGTCACTATCGTACCGGCGTGAGTCCTCTCTTCTTAATCAACGGCCTTGCTACTTCTTCTTGAGATTTAAATCCGAACTTTGAAAACTCTGGATGTCTTTGAAGACTTTGCTGAAGAGTTGTCTTCCCGGCACAGTGTGCGCCGCATAGATAAACCGATATTTTCCTATCCATGAGTTCAATCGACACGACGTGTATTTGAAGATTTCTTATGATAGAAATAGCCCTTGAGCATGAATGCTGTGAATGAAAGGGTGGCACAGACGAGCTATATCAAGAAGGACTGTAGTCAAATGAATGGTGCGCTGTTTCCGAGAGCTCACTTATTTGTTACGTCATAATCTATATCTTTGTAGCCATATGTCATAAAAAAAACAAAAAAGTTTAGATAGAGCCGTAGATAGAGTCGTATCTGGACTGGACTAGACTGCCTAGCGGTTAGGGCAGGGGTGCACAACCTTTTTGCTATTGGCGGCCACATTGCATTTATATGTATTCAATACGGCTTCCATGGGGATGATGAGAGCCCTATCGGCGCGCTAAAATTTTCTTTTGGGCTTTTATGACGTCATAACGGCGTATTTGACTCATGCGAGGTGCAGTTTGCCCAATTATGAAGTATGTGGGACTACTTGGAAGAATAATATTTTCATTTTAAACGGATTTTTTTTTTCGGTCGACCTATTCTTGAGCAGATATATTGCAGCAAATTGCATAATGGTTGCACAATTTTGAATAAAATCAAAAGTCGGGGAGGGGGAGGGGTGAGGGGCGTTTGCCCAGATTGTGACGCATCGTGTCGTCTGAATTTTTTGCAGTGCTTCTCTTTTGCTTCAATATACGCCTGCATATGCGCCAAATACTATGATTAGAACTTCATTTTATTTTATAGGATTTTGTATGTGAACGACCGCATTATTTTTTAACGACGGCCGCATGCGGCCGTAAGAACGCAGGCTGTGCACCGTTGGGTTAAGGCGTTGAACCTAATCGTGTTGGCATTGTAGATCACATATCTCGGGTCCATTCCCCCACCTCACTCATAATGTGTAATAAATCGAATGGGAGATGCCAAACTAGCCCTTTCACATAACAGTAGTTTCATAAATAAATATCAGGGGCCTTTTTACAGCGCCTTGTAGAGAGCAAAATGCTCGAGAAAGCGTCTTATATAAAATGCTTATGTTTCTTTACATATATTCAGCACTCGCAGTGAAATACCAATACGTAATGTATTTTTTTTTTATAAAACACAATATAACTCGTAGCCTATATGTTTAAATACCTGCCCAAGCACTTTCCACGTTGCTTTGGAATGAGATGTTCCACTACTCTTATCTTTTGCAAGACTCTCCAGATCAGTGATTCCCAAACCGTGGCCCGCGGGCAAATTACGGCCCGCGTTACGATTTAAAACGGCCCGCCGAACTTAAGCGAAGTATTTTGCCACTCCAGTTTTTACTTTTTTGCGTTCTAGATACCACCAATTGTTATGGTCATTATCACAAACACGTGTATAATCTTAACAATTCAATTAAAACGGTATCTTAATTTCACGTTACGGTTATCGGCCGCGAATATCCTTCTGCTTCCAATTTCGGCCCCCGGCAATCAACTTTGGGAACCACTGCTCTAGAATCTAGACAAGCAGATATTAATACTTGAAGCTACTTGTGCGGAATCTTTCCAGACTGGCATTACCTAATTATTTTATTACATTCTTTCATTTAATAAGGGCAACTAATTACTCTAAAAATATGGTAATTGTCTCAATTTTTCTTAACTTATTCTCTCCCACGTCGTCAACTCACTACCCCTACAAATATCACACATGAAACGCACAAGCGATTTTGGATCCTGCTTAGAAACTAAATTTTTATTCGAGGCGTCGAATTACAATGAACCTTCATTGTTACCGCAGGTACAATTCAGTGCGGATGGTGTGTATATCGGAAATGACGCCACACAACCGGGCTGATATGTTTCATTAAGCGTTCATGATCTTTTTTAGACCAAGCTTGTTTGATTTCATCAATAATTTAGTGCACAGAGTCACGTTGAATAAAAATTGAAAAATTGCACTTGCTTGACTGACAATACACACTTTATATATCTTACCTGAACATGTTTTACTCAGGGGTGGGCATATTACGGACCGCGGGCCGGATCCGATTCACACCGAAGTGTTTCATTCGGCCCTTTTGTGTCTGAGTCAGAGTTATTTTATTTGTCACCTCAAAAAAACAAGCAATCAAGAACAAATATTTGTCTGCTGAAATTGCGACTATAACTTTTATGAATATAAATTTCGGTTGAAAATAACGTCATAGTGACCCCGATTGTTACTTTGTGCTTTTTATTATTATATAAACCTAGCTGTTGTAAATAAACTGTTTTTTACTCATATTGAGTTTTGATCCCCCAGCCCAGTAACCAAGTCTATTATCGGTAACTGGCCCACTAAGAAATAAATTGCCTATCCCTGAGCTAGTTATATCCGAAGGAAGCTATTCGAATGTCAATTAGCCCATACATGTATCATAAATATATCTAATTCAATCAATATGGCGTATGTGGTGAAGCCTTCAATAAATCCAATAAACTCGAATAATACTTGTCCCTCAAAGCGTGTATCTTTATGGTTGGCTGGGTGAAAGCTGATAAATATGTCCCATAGAAAAACAACACTTGATTATGTAACTATCACTTGGCGTTAGACGAGACTAACTACCCTTCCTTGTACTATGTTTTTGTCCAAGTGATTTGATAATTGATATATCATATTCCCGACTTATAATCAATAACGGTTTACAGCAGGGACTTTGTATATACAGTTTGCCGTAGCTCGTCAATCATATATTGGTGAAAGTGGGATATAAATATCGGCCTCATTGCCTAAAAGTACAGCCTTGATATTAGGTTTTCATTTTCTTTGTTGTTGTATCTGCTATCACTTACCTCATTTTACCACAATCCTGAAACAACCAAACTAATAAATATTTTATATAAATCTATAGTGCAGTAGCCAACTTTATTTTTCTTTGCAATCGGAAAAAAACTTAATCCTGATAGAAGAGGAATTCTAAATCAGCCATATCTAACATTTTCCTCAGCACCAAAGTTAAAACTGTCACGTCAACCAAATTTTAAAGTACACAGGCAAAATATTTAATACTAAATTATTGATACACTATCCCAGTAATACTTAAACTTTGTTCGTTCGTGGCCTATTCTGTGGCCCAATAACGTTTTTATGCAAGAGAAAAAGCAAACTATGTCCAGTGGTGGGATTCAGCCGGTTCGCAACGGTTCTATAGAACCGTCTCACGGAATTTTATGAGATCAGCGAACCGGTTAGCATTACTGGTTACTTTCAATGTTCTGTTTGTAAGAGAACCGGTTGAAAAATATGACTTTTGTGATGGAACCGGCTACAAAAAAATTCGAATCCCACCACTGACTATGTCCTCAAAAACAAACACTTTCACTTCAATAATTAGAAAGAAAATCATCAATTAATAGCATAAAAACGGTATCATCATTTATCACCACAATTAAAATTCAACTATTGTGAGACAAATGAAACTTGAATTATCAATATCTCTGGCAATTCCTAATAAGTTGTGGCCCAACTGAAAATATTGCTGTGGCGACCAGTGGTTGAGAACCGATGTACTAGTCCCACAATTTTGATTTTTAACAAACTCAATAAATAAAAACGTCTCAAAATAATGCTGCAAGCCTAAAAATTCATATTTATTCATCACGTATGCTTTAAAAGGACCTTCTGTCTCAACGCTTTACAGTGAAATAAAACCCCAAACGAAAGTTTCTTTTGGAAACACTTGAATAGTTTTCTTAAGTATCACGAGGTTTTCGTAAACGGGGAACCACCGAAATCGAAAATAGAGGCGAAGAAATTCAATACAATATGACGACTTCGCATTCATTAACCCGTTTACGTCCTCTTGAGGTACGCAATCAAGCGTGTTTGTGCGTATATTTAAGATAATGTAACACACCGCTTACGTTACATGCGTTATGAGTATACAAGCAAATGTTTACGTCATTGTTCATAAATAACAAGAGAGCAATACTCGAATATATGGACACGAAAGCCAAAACGAAGTAGTAAGGTTATGGAATATATCACAGTAAATTACAATATTCACTACTGACGCGAAAGAAGAACCGCCACAAGATGTGCAATTTTTGATGACGAAAATACCAACAAGAACAACATAATAACAAAACTATCCATATGTACATTTCGTGTCCAAAAATTCAGTAGCCAAAAGCATTATCGTTGGAACTTAGATATGACTGGTAATCAGTATCGTGTATTCAATTTCCGGAGGCCGACATCGAATTCTGCAGCATGTGACATTTTTCCTCGTTTAAATCCAGATCTTCGGTTTGGTCTTTCATACCTTTCTCAAGCGATACTTGGTTAGGTATAACTAAAATTTCGATCTCACCAAGCTCGACAAGCTACGGTAAGTTGACACAAAGACCTTGCTGTAAACCTTTTAAAGATTTTTATTCGCGATTATGATATAACGAATATAAATAAATAAATGTTGTGTTTCTGTTCGACGTATTTGTCTCATTTCACCCAGTCAACCATAGAGATACACTTGGCCCGCTTTGAAGGACAATTATTATTCGAGTTGCCTTTTTATTAAATGCTGTACGACCTACGCCAGGGGTGGGTAACCCCTGGCACACGTTCCAAACTTGGCACGCAAGTTCATTTATTTGGCACGGAAGCGAATCATCAGAAACAAGATCACTCTTCTTCAGATAAAAGTTTTCGAGGCTTTGGATTATCTGATGAAACTAGGTGTTCATTTGTTCATTATCGTATGTTACCAATTCGTTATTTATTCTGACTTCTTCTTTACTTTCATGACATATGGCAACAATAAAATATATTGGCGTAACGAATGAGCTCTCGAGAAATTTTGTCGAGAATAGCGCAGTATTAATTTGGCTGCATTCTTACGTAATCTCTCACTGATATTTTCCCTAAATATGAATCTGCCTGTACATGTTTAATTAATAGGTTTATTATTGTGTACTTTTGCTTTAATAGTAGCAAAGCATTGTATTTAATTTTGGTCGGCACGCGAAAGAATTTGTCGTTAAATTCAGTTGATTTCGGCACGAGAGCCGAAAAAGGTTGCCCACCTCTGACCTGCGCCATATATGTTATACCATATGAATAATTATGATACATG